TTAATAGGAAAAAATCCGAATTAATCTACAATTTCGAAAATCGTCTACCGCTGCTTTTATTCTCTCTCCCCTTTGTTTTCCCTATGCTCGACTGTAATGAAGCTATTCCTGAGCTGTTCTCGCGACACGATGCATATTCATGAACGATTGAATAATACCAGTTCCATCGATTTCCTTCAAGTCCAAAAAATTCTGAATCTATCATCCAGTTCGTCACTGTGTCACTGGAGTGTGCCGAGGCAAACAACTTTTTTTTACTCTTCATTCCGTTTTTTTTCTTTCGTTTTTTTAACACCACCAGCGAAACTCGTCGCTATTCGACACACAGAGTGTGTCTCGTGCGAGTAATCGTCTTGATAGTCACTGTGACCTTCGCCCACGACGTCTCACCGGAAGATTCCGGTTTCGTGGATCGATCGATCCAACCTTACCCTATCCAGAATATCCTAGATCAGTGCCTGATGGTCTGGTGACAAATTTCACGGACCGCGCGCTCTTCTCGTCGTCCAATGCATAGAGAAGCAGGTATAATCGGTATCTTTCAATTAATCTACGTGTCGTAACGAACAGGTTGCATCAAAGTAATAAGCGTACAGGGTTTCGAAATAGTCCCGATGAGGTTTTTAGCGAGGACACTATTCGCTTAACCTTAAGCTAATTAAGCAATAAATTCCTCGTTTTTTAATTACTACATTTTAGCAGCTACCGAAGAGTATCTGATTTTAAGGATACCTCGGACGATGTAGCTCTGTGAAATATTGGAGAAATGATTTTTGGTGTTGGCAAACGTACGGGTTGAACAAATTCGCCGATTTTGTTGAAGAATTTCCAGAGATGAGAGTTTATAGAGAATTTAAATTTAAAATATTTCTGGTACCACTTTGATAATGTCCTTTTAACAAATATAGGATTGCTATCGCTAAAAATTCCCATTTAAAAATCAGCAAGAATATTCCAAAAGAGTCTTACCTTTTACTGCAATCATTGAAAAAAATTATTTTTATCTTTTACCGACATGAAATAATTTTTATCTGCACAAAAAAATCATTCCATTGTTCTGGATCAGTGGTTCCTCAATTCATTTACAATTTTCAAAAATTCGTGGAGCCCATACCCACGTTCCAGCCACCCTAATTTTAACAACACCCTAACAAAAATTATTTCCAAAATAAATTTTGATCAAACGTTATCAAAAGACACTTTGCGAAGCACAGCTCTATAGCCACATCCCAGCAAACAATATTCCCCATCGCCGTACTCTGAATTCCTCAAAATTCCCTCGCACCGTATCTTCACGGGGTGTTCTCGTTGCGGCTGAATTCTCGCCAAAGAGTCCGGCCGTTCGAGCCGATCGAACGACCTTATCCTTCTCTCTCGCCTCTTCCAGATCAGTGCTCGTTTCACAGGTGGCCGACACGATACCGTTGTTTCGTCACGTGTCGAAGTGAGCTCGTCTTACGGGTGATTAACTGGGGCGACGTCGGCTTGTGCTTACGCCTCCGCTTTGCCACGCGTGCACCAGTCACCAGGGCCGCTTTTGCACGGGGAGGGTAGGGGGACGTTGGCGGGGTAGCTCGGTGTGATGCATGAATGAAGGTTGCAGAGGTGGTGGAGCTGAGAGAGAACGGAAGAGAGAGAGAGCGAGTCGACGCCACCCCTCCGACACGGTGAATCGTGTCACGCTCTCTCTCTCTCTCTCTCTCCTCTCGCATCCTTTCCCACCCTTTCCATCCCCCTTTTCCACCGTATCCTCGTCTAACCAACGCGATTCTCACGCCAACGCCTCTGTCTACCGGTGACCCACGCTTACACGTACACATAGAGAACGATTACGATGGCGCAGCCGGTTCCACGAGGGTGAATTATGACGTAGTTTTACCACCGGCAGAAGATGCAAGTTAATTGGCATTATTTCCGGACGCGTGCTCGTCAAGGAGCTGGAGGATTTCCGTGTACGTTTAATCACGCGTCTGTGCGTCAATCCGCGGATGGATCATTGACGGGCAAACGCGGCTCGTTAGATTGACGGACGGAGGTGAATAATTGTTCGTGGAACGATCGCGGTAACTCGTCGGACGATCAATTATACCGGAGACGGAATCTGGTTGGAACGAGGTTGAATCACATTTCGAACTGCGGATCGATTTACCGTTGCACTTTTCCTTTCTACCGCAGAATGAACAGGGTTGAACTGAGAGGATGGAACGGAAATGTGGTGTAAAAGGTGTAGTAAACGTTGTCACGCAACGTGCTCCTAGAAAACAAAGCGTGCGAGCAATTTCAATCCATTCGTATCGATCACGGTGTGTTTACTCAGGGTTACTTCATTCTCAACTCTTGGACATCGTGTAAACTAGGAAAAACCGTCGGTGTAAAATTTTCATCGGACAACAGGTTACACTTCTGGCAGGTGCACAGTCACCTGTTTGGACGAAAAAAATTTTACGACTTCGTTTTACCAACGATTAAACTTTTAATAGGCTCTCGAATAAAGGATCGAAACTTAATGCACCATCCTCGAACACCTTTCTACCCGGATACTCCCCGGGAGAAACCTCTGGAGGGTTAACAAACGACATTGCTAAAGATACATTTCCATCCGTCGGTATCCGCGATCCGTTTTAATCCATGGCTCGTCGATTATTCAAAAGCGATCGTCGTCGGTGCCAAGAAGCGCGCCACGACCACCAGCTGAACTCGAGAGGCGAACGGAAGCGGGCCAAGTGAGCGCCAAACACGGAAAAGTGTCTCCCCTCGAGGAATATAAATAGACGGACGATCAGAAGCGGAGGAGAACAAACACATCGAGAAATGTAACAATTAAGCGAGAAGAATGCAGCGTTGAAATGGAGAAGAATTGATAGGAGGGGAAGGAGAATAAGCAAAAGGATACCGGCGGTTGTTGGGTCGGGTCGGGTTGGATTGGGTCGACTTGCGTGGGGTTGGATATCCGTGTGGTGGGAGAGATGGGTGATCGGTAGGTGGCGTGCTGACGTCACTATAGCGGCATCATCAGCCGCGTGGGCCAATAGGGACGCTCACTCGAGCCAGGTCCATCGATCCGCAGGCTGCTGTCGTGTGTGTTTATGACGTCCGAAGGTGACGTCATCGTTAGCGCCGTTCGCCGCCGCCGCCGCCGTCGCTACACACGCTACGGTTTTAATATAGCGGAGGAACGCGCGCGATCCGGACTCAGTTACGCGGCGGCCGGCCACCCGTGCGAGAGCGTATCGCTTTCTTGCAAAACGTGTCCGCGCTGTTTTCTCTCTCTCACACTATTTCTCTCTAAACTACTCTCTCCCACACACAAACACACACACACACACTTACTCGCTCTTAACTTATTCCTTTCTTTCTTCTCTATCTTGTCTCTTGAACGCGATACATTTATACACACGTGTATGTATATCGCAAGGAGAGAAAATTTGATCGAGAAAGTTTAGAAGGAATTTTTCACCGAGACAAAACCGGCGGTGGTTGTGTGTCACGCAAAAGAGGATCAATTGTGCGGAAGATACGTGTAAATCGGTGAGACACGGAAAGAAGAGAGTATCAAGTCCGTGTGTCAAGTGCGAGAAAACTGGGGATTAAACACGCGAACGAAGGAAGAAAAGGTGGTGCACTAGCCAAGGACGTTTGTGTTTGAGTTTCGCGTGACCAACGGGAGAGAGAGAGAGAGAGAGAGGGAAGTTAACCTAAGCGCGTTTGAACGCGCGTGGTTCCGCGTGTACGGGACTGCCCGAGGTTGTGTCTCTCTCGCGATATCGTCTGACAGCTTCCTGTTCAGCTGTTTCGTCTAGGACGTAACAGAGAGATAGGGAGATAATCGTTCGGTCAGAAGGAGGGAAAGATTTTTGGTGGACAAAAGTGTATCTGTACGATTCGACGCTAGAGAGATCGATCGAGAAGATCGATCTTGGAGAAATTGGAGGGAAATTTTGGAGAACCTCGACGAGACTCGTAGCGAAGATGATGTCGACGATGGAGACGGAGGAAGGATAAATTAGCACGATCTTCGAGGAACAAAACACAGGATTCTGCATGCGAGAAGTGTTCGAGCTCCTCGGTGGAGCGCTCACCTCCGAAGACTTCCTCCACAAGGATTGGTCTAGCCCTGCGACTACGCTGACAGGTCGGTGATACACGTGTGTCATCACTGTTCTTTTCTCATTGTGTTGTGGGTGAGTTGTGTATGTGTGCGCCTTGGATCACGTTTTAGAGAGCACGTACCTCTTTCTCCGTTTCTTGTCCCGTTTCTCAGCCCGGTATATACATTGTGCTTTTACCAATCACCGTGTGAATCTTCATCGACTGGTTGTGATTATCGCGATCAATTCATCCCCCTTTTGTTTTTATTCACTCTGAACCACTCGTCGTGTACGTTTCATCAATCGTTTCACTGTATATCAAATTCACACGCTTCTCGCGAATGCTTTTGCATCAGGGACAATCCATCGATCGTTTAAATCTATCAGAATAGAGAGAAAAAGGAAGACTGTCTAATCGACGAGACTTGATTCCAATCGGGAGAGCTTTATACCGAAAGAACGGAAACCGTCGGCGAGATAGAGAGATCAGCTGTCGAGAGGAATAAAAGCACGTGTAACATCTCGAACTCGCTTGTCTATTTAGCGTTCTGCGCTGGCACGTGCGCGCTTGCGCGCTCGCTCGCGCCTCTGAACAGGAGTTTGGCCCGCGAGGAAGGAAGGAAGGAAGAAAGGAAGGAAGGAGGAGAAGGAAACAAAAAGTGCGAGAGATCGGTGTTCGTCGTAGGATGGTCGCCGCGATCGTCGCGGCCATCGATCGTCCGCGTCTCGTGGACAATTGAGAACGAAGAGAGAGGAGGAGGTGGAAGAGGCGGTGGAGGAGGAGGAGGAGGAGGTGGAGGAGGAGGAGGAGGAGGAGGAGGAGAAGGGACGTATAGCGATCGCGAGTAGCAGCGGGCTGGTGAATGAAACGGATAAAAACGAGGCGTGAGAGTGCTGCTGATCGTACGTGCGATGCGTACCGTCGAGGATACGGGCACGGAAGCAGCCGCAGTTGGTGCTGCGACCACCCACCAACGTGCTACAACCGGCAGGCCATTGGTCGTCGATCACAATCACGATCGCGATCACGATCAACGAGATCGATCGACCACGATCCATCTACCGACTGCACCGTACCACCAGGTCACCATCGCAGCGGACACCAACAACAATCATGACCATCATCGGAACTTCGAGCATCACGCGACTCAACGCCATGATCATTGGAACAAGTGTAAGTCATCTAGTAGAAAAAATGAACAAAATTAAGAACGAAAGAAAGACCTTTGGGACCGTCTTGTGTATAGTTTCACCGGTAGTTTATTCTACCGGTATCCTTTAACGAAGAATTATGCCGTACAAATGCTCGCTGATGGTTGGCAGGTTGTGGTTACAAAAGGTGGTGGTGGTGGTGATGGTGGTGGTGACGGTCTGATTTCGATGACGTAGATGGATCGACCTGTCATCGTTTTTATTTTTAGGTTTCGAATTAAGCGGTAGCTCGGGATATTATTTTCGTTTTGTTTCGATTTAATTGGATTCGTTTCTATCTAAAAGAGACCTTTAAAGGCTTTCGTCGAAAATCAACGAAAGATCTGAGAGACAATGGCGTGTGCGCAACGAATTCGCGTGTGCACTGTATAGGAAAAGCGAGAAAGGTTAATGGGCATGGCATTAAGGAGCGAAAGAGCGAGTGAAATGGAGATGAGGTGCGAACGATAGAGCGAAGGGACGAATTGCCCCCTCTCGACGTCTCTTCTTAGCCAATCGATTCGAGCTGTGAAAAGGATCTAGAGGCTGTGGCTCGACGATTGGTCGGGAACCTTCTTTCAACGCTATATCTATTCTTTCACTGTGCAAGCAAAAAGAAAAAAAAAAAGAGAAAGAAATTCACTCACAATCGCGATTTGCATTCGCCAACATTTTATCCACTGGACATTGTCTCACCGTGTTACCGATTTCATTTAGTAAAAATCACCACCATCGTCATCGTTGTCGTTTCTTTTTTCTTTACAAAATCATCTTACCAGTTTTCAATTTTTCTTCCAAAATCAATTCTCACGTATTCACGAATCACCTGTACATATACATATATATGTATATATACACATGTGTATGCTTCAATTATTCATTCGCGCCTGTTCCATCGAGCCTAGCGACAGATTCCATATTCGAGAGCAGCCGCGAGTTCGATCGGGCATAGCCTAGCGGGCCGATAGGGACATTTTACAGGTGTAATCGGCACGTTAAGGTAAATATAGTCTGGCAGTCGGCCGAGTGCAAGGCAGGCGTTTCTTTTCCGCGTACATACTTGGCCCGCACGAGACCTGCCCGCGCAGGAAAGAAGAGAGAAACGCTTAACGAACAAATATAACCGACGCGTTGTGTGTGTACGTTCTGTGGCGGCGGGTGCAGGTGCGGTCACTGGTTCTGCTGCATTGTGACGACCAATCGAATTGCGAAAACCGATTGTCAGGTTCGCTAGGTACAAAGAGAAGTGAGAGAGAGAGAGAGAGAGAGAGAAAGAGAGTAACGACCGTGACAATGGTAAATCAACGCTTATGACTTCCGTGCGTTAAATGGACCCCGCGAGTGTGTCGTGGTACCGTTAAAAGTGGCCACTCACGTTATCGATAGTCGATCGACTGTCACTCTGACCGTTACGTGGGCATGTAATTGCGATATATGCAAACTTCGAGCAAGAGGAGAGTAGGATAAGAAAAAGGGAGAGAAAAAAAGGAAAGAACTGCCTCGTGCCACGGCTATTAAAAGAGAGAGAGAGAGGGGTAGAGCAAAGTTGATAAACATATCGAGATCGAGAAACCTAATCACTCCAAGTGACAGTCTCTCTAGTTTTCCCCACTCTCTTCTAATAAGAGAACTGGACTCGAGAATGGTTTGTCCGTGGAAAATCGCTGGTTTACGAGAACTTGCCAGTGACACGTGTGTGTGTGTTTGTGTGTTACGTTAATAGGCCTGCGGTGTAACGCGCGGGTTTGCCGTTCCACCAGCAGCAAGTAGTTAGGCGCATTCAGACTCAGACATTAGCGAGACGTGCATCGCCTCGCGTCTGAGCTGGCACGTCCGTAACTACTTAATTCTTTTTAAACGTTTCGTGGCGAACGTGTGTAGTATTATACACTCGCTGTGTGCCAATCTTCTCTCCCCTCTTCGTCGTTCTATGCATCTTTCTAACCGTCGATAATAAAATCTCGTCGATTACAGCCGGTAATGGTGAAACGTAATTTATTTTATTACAAATAATTATCGTAATATCGAATCCACACACGCGCACACGTGCGATGCGATTAGATTAGAGAAACTGTTGTCTTTAGATCGGAAAAGTTCTGAAAAACGATCGGATTTTCGACGACGTTCGTTACGCGATTCGCGTAGGAATTCTAACGTGGAAATTTAAACGCGTTTTAGAGAGCGGGATGGTGTGCGAGAGGAGGAACGAAAGTTTGTGAACAATTGGAACGATCGATGGGTGGTGGGCGCCGTTTGAAATTGTGGCGTGAAAATAATCGGGATCGTTCGTAGAATCGTAAAATTGGATAGTATTTTGACGGCGAGTGCCCGTGGGATGGACACACTCGCTTCCTAGAGGCCAATTGCATTGTTTTACTGGGCAAACTAAATATACGTGCGAGGCAGGCGTACCGCGGCTACTTGGCCGGGACACAAAGGAGACCAAAGAGACGTCTAAGACGACCGTACATCACGTGCCGTTACACTTTTCACGTTTTCGACGTGCTAGAACGATGAACGACCGACGATTGAACGCGCGACGCCACGTCTAACTCCTGCGTCCACGTCTAAGGAATGTGGATTCGAAGGCGACGCGCGTTTCGCCGTTCCACGATACTCGTGATTCATTCGCGCGATTAAAATGTGCACGGTGTTCTCTACGCGCTGTGATACTTCGACGTGTAGTACGAGCATGCATATATCTACGTTGACTTAATTCATTCGGAGTTTCGGTGCCTTCCAAACCTTCGTTTCTCAATGGCCCCACGGTGTATCGTTCTCCCTTAGCAATGTACTATGAATGTGTAATTCCATAAATTGTGGAATTTTGCTGTTGGAATAATCAGATCATCCTGAAGATGAAAATTTTGTCAATCTTCAATTCACTCCGGTGCTCAAAAATCGAAAACTTTTTCATTGTTTTCGTACAAGGGTGACGATACTAAAGCAGAGGAGGCGAAAATTAAAAGGAGAGAGCGTGCAGAATAGATGAGACAGATTGAGGGAGAGAATGAGCCGTAAAGAAGTTAGAAAAGAATGAAGTATTCCTTCGTAGAAGATCGATATGAAAGAGGACGAAAATATTTCTTTGTTTTCGAAGCGTATGATTGCAATTGGTCTGTAGGAGAGGAAGTCAGGGCATCGACATTGAGGCGTGGAATCGAGGAAGGCAGGCGATGACAGGTTCCAGGTGGAAACGTTGCTCGACTGCGGCGTTGTGTTTTTCACGAGGCTGCGGTTTCGCGTGGGTGGGAATAGGCTCTTGTTTCCGGCGCGAGACATGCGATCAGGAAGCGACCTCAGGACCCCGGGGGCGAAGGAACGAGGGTGAAAAGACGCGGCATAGGTGGGCGGTCTGACGATTCATATTGCATAAATGCTACGCCACTTCTTCAATTATGTAATGGTTCCTCGATTCGACGTGATTCGATATCTACGAAACTTTCATCGTGCTGCATCGACGTCAGCCGCATGTTTCCAGCCAGTCGAGCTCGTATGGGAACGAAAGAGGCGTACGGTGCCTTGCGATAATTATAATTAATTGAAACCGATACTCGTCGATAAACATGCATCGATCAACGTGCAGTAATTTCACGTTGCGTAACGACAAATTGCATCGACGAGGAGCAGTGTGTACACGAAAAAGTGAACGTGATGGAAAATCGTGGACAACTTGCGTCTGAGAAAAATTCGAACGAGATTTTGAAAACTTCCCGAATACACAGGATCTTTCGTTATTTTAAATTTCAACAAAGATACTTCTCGATTTCTAATTAAAATCGTAAAAATACGAATAATCGAATATTCTTCTCGATCAAGTCCTCTCAATTCCTCCCGAACAAGTTTCTTCTTCGTTTTAATAAAGTCTCGAAGTGAGGAGAATTTCACTGCAGAACAACTTAACTGTACTCTCTCTCTCCAACTTTCGTACAGATTTACAATGCCTCTCGATAAGTTCTCCCCCCTGTTGCAATTACTCGAGAGTGTAACTCAAATATATCGCGTTAGAAAACATTTCCCTCGTCTCGATTGCTCCAGTATACAAGCTCTTTGAGAAAAAGCTCGGACGCCCAGTACGCAGAGGCAGTTTTGTCGGACAGAACCTGATTAAAACTCGCCGATAGGGAGAACGCATTCGCCGTGGAGAAAGAGAGATTACTCGGGCCGCGGCGTAATGAGATTGTGACTCGCATAACGACTCTAGGATCGATAAGTGACGTTGATGCATATGAACGCGCGTGCCAGCAGTGAAAGGGTCAGTAGTCAGACGGTGGCGCTATAAATACCGGGAGGACTTGATTCGTTGTGTTTTAACACGGTTGATTAACGACGGATCGATAGCGATCGCGCTTTCCTTGCTCCCTCGCGAAGAAAGAAACCGTTGGTCGTTCCATTCACGATCAATCGATGAAGAGAAAAAAAAGGAAGAAAAAAGAGACGAACGAACGAAACGGTGTGAATGTGTGTATGAATGTATAATCAGAGTCGTCGTATGCAACGTGCGTAACGTCGTTTTGACGATGCTGGGCTGTATGCCCGACAGGTTTATGGTAATTCGGGCGAACCGAGTAAAAATGTGTAACGCGACCGGCTGACGCGCGGCCTTGTTTCACCTGAAATAGATTTCACCGCGCGGAAACGTATTCACCGCGCGCGAGTTTTGACGCCGCTTCGGAACACCGGCGGTGCTATAATTTCTCCTGGTTACGCGCGTCCATCCGAGGCGATCGATCCGCCTCGTCGCCGGAAGAATTCGCGTTTTCGCGGAAATCGTCTCGATTCGATCCGCTGTACACGTCTATTTCTAACACACCCACCTACCGCAAACAAATATCATCATCCCCTTCCAGTTACCACTCTTCTCTCTTTCGTCAGAAATTTCTACGTAATAAAACGCGTTCTTGAAATTCAGTCCACCACTCTATAGCGTACACTCGATATTACCGGCGTCAATTACGTCATACAGGGACTTGCAAATATCCC